AAGTGGGTAGGAGAGAGACTATATTATTTTGCCTAACTTTTTACTTTTTAGAATATGGTTTTGCTAAAAGAAATCCAATAATGAATTCGAGGGAAAGAAAAATGCAAATTCCAACTGTCACTCTTTAATTTGACGAAGTATTCAGCAGCCTCTCGTCCTATGAATTATTAATAGTTAGGTGAAATATTTTGATAGCGACCTTATTTTATTTATTGTGAGATACTAATAAATTAATAATAGTTCAGTACTCCACATATAATGGCAAAACTGGAAATATTATGAAGTGAAATTTTATGTTTTTTCTCCTAAATATTTCAAAAATACAATAACATACCCTAAGAAAAAAAAAAAAAGGTAACATAAGTGAAGTGCTTTTTATTTCTTTTTAAAAGTATCAAGTGTTATGTTTGGGCTAAAAAATAATTCAAGTGTAAAGTTCTTTTCAATATTTTAAATTTTAAAAACCAGGTCACTTATCCAATTAGTATTATAACTAAATTGTAGTTGAATCGGGTAAATTCGATTTAACTGGATTTGTGACTTTTGAATAAGGTTTTTGACTTTAGATTTGTAATTATCTATCAAATAAACAAAATTTATCATATATCAAAATAATATGCTGACTCAATTTGTTTTATACATTGGAGCAGAATAATATTGTGGCTATACAGAGAGATAGTCCTCCGCTTTGAATAACACTTATCAAAACGTAGGAGGTCTCGAGTCCCTACATCTTTTACAAGATGTAGAAAAATCAACCAAACCACGTCTAATTGGCTATTCACTCAAATTTTGATATTACAATTCATACCATGTATTTTAGAACAATAAATTGTTACATTTTTCAACTATTTATAAATATTTAATTGATCTACTTTTGCAAGTTGAAGTGTATAATATGTGTAATTATATAATTTTCTTCTTAAAAAATGGGTGTATTTGTGTAAGTTGAAGTATTTGATAGATTAAAGTAAAAAATGAAGATGCTATAAGGTTAAAGTAACAAGATTCATTGGCAAATTATATATTTAGTTTTTGGCAGAATACATAAATTTACTCCTAAACATTATAACTTTCATCTTGTAGTACCCTCATCTTTTATTTTGACCCATCAACCACTTTAACTTATACAATTACATCTATTAAACACTTCAATTTTCAAAGTTATGCTATTGAACACTTCAACTTGCAAAATTTAAATCAATTAAACACATTAAAATGTTAAAATTTATGAAATTATTATTGTAAATGTTATGCTAATTACATATTAAGTCGATATTTTATATATATAACCAAAAACCCTAAAACTTATTGATATTTTAGTATCAAAAAGGGTATGATATTATCAAAATTTATAAGTTCAAGTACATGATAGGTCATTCACGAAATTGAGGGTGCTACCAGATTAAAGTTGTAAAGTTCATGGGTAAATTTATATATTCAACCGTTTAGTTTTACGTAAATCTATAATATATATGGATGTAAATGTAATGATAAAGGATAGGAACACCTTGGGTAAAGATAAAAAAATAATAATAATTATACATATCAAAATAGATCATGATACGAGAATGTGATTCGCTTAATACTAACATTAAGAGAAGAGTTAAATCTAAATGGATATGTATAGTAAAAGAACAGTTCATATATGACACGAGTTTAGACCAGCTGTGACATGAGTGGACTCATCTAACATGTTTATTTAAGGGTTGACAAAGTAATTTTATATATAATATATATACCAAACGAGTTATATGTGTTATGCGTGTTAGATTTTTTTGATTCGTATACAAACCATTTAATTAAATTGGTTAGAGTTTTTTACTTGCATATGACCTATTTAATTAAATTAAATGAGTTATTGTAACGTGGTAGCACTTATTTCATTTTCAAATAGTGTTTATATTTAAATATTCAATATGATTATTAAATGGTTATTGACTCTAACCATGCTACGTATTAAATGGATTTATATCAATTCGGCCCAACAATTCGTTTTGACACCCCTAATCATAGGCGGTGAAGTATAGAGGCTGATAGTGTGTAGGATAAAAGTTAAAAATCTGAGTATACTGAGTTTATCCAATTTTTTAATTTTTTGGTAATCTTTTTTTTTTTTATTTTAAAGTTTTTGACTTAAAGTGTCAAATCAAATTAGATTAATTATTGATTCACAGTTGAACTGGTCCGACCGACTGTTCCGACCCATTAGTCTAGTTCAATTTTAAAAACAGGTAACTTGAAACAGTAAAATGCATATTGAAAAGATGTAATTAGAGATTGATTTAGTCCCTAATACCAAATTATTTCTTATGATTTGTTTTTTAACTTAATGCTCTATTTATTTCAGGAAAATAACTTATTTTAGGAAAGTATTTTCTAAAAAAATGTTTTTCTTGACAAATGTTTTTCAAATAATTTATTTTCCGTTGTTTTGGTTGCAATATTGAAAATTAATTTAAAAATATTAAAATATTTAACTCATAAGACCATAAAAATATTAATAATAATATAAATTTCATATTTTAAAAATTTTATTGTTAAATATAAAAAAAATAAAAAATGATAAATTATGAAAATCGCCAGTGACCGGTACTGGTAGCCGATAGTGGCCCATGATGGTGGTGGTGGTGGTGAACAGTAACAAGGAATAATGGTTGTTAATGATTAATAAATTAAAAAATATGTATTTATAAAATTATAATAAGTTTATTAATATCCGTAAAATGTTTTCCTTTCTTAAAAAATTTTCCATTGACAAAAACAATATTTTCCGTTAATTTATTTTTTCAATAATAAAAAATTATAAAAAATATTTCCGTCAAATGGAAACTAATTATTACCCTTATTTTGTGGTTGAAAATTATTGCATCACCCCAATAGATATTAGTTGTTCGGTACTATTCATATGACTCATGTCCTTTATGGGCATGCACTTACTGTATCAAAAATGCTTTATGAAAATTACAAATGCACAAAAAGGTATTATAATTTTTTTTTAAGGGAAAAAAATCGTGTTATAACTCTAAGAATGAAACAAAGGGTAATTTTAGTATATGTCATATTTTTTTAAATTATGTTTAGTGATCGTCAGTTTGACTTTTCAATTTAAATTATTGTCAGTTTGGATTTATTTTTACTTTTATGTTCTTTTTATTTTGTTAAGCGTTAATGTTTTAATTGCCTAGTGTTTCTTTTTTATTAATTTTCTATTTTAATTATCATTGTTTTAATTGCTTAGTGTTTCATTTTTTATTAATTTCCTTTTTTCTTTTTCTGCTGCCGTCTTTTTGCAGCCTCCATTATTTTCGGTGTTGTTCTTTGTCATTTTATTGCCGTCTATCATTTTTTTTATCGTTATTTTTCCTTTTGCTCTCGTTATTTTCAGTTGTTAGTTGTTTTTCTCATTATTGGCATTGTTCCACGATTTTTTTTTGTTCTATTTCTCTTCTGTGATTTCATTTTTGTATAAGCGTATCAGCGACTTAATTTTTGCTAAAAAACTGTCATCGCCATTTATGTTATTTATGCTCTGTAGAGACAAGGTAGAACTCTTGATTCTGTTTGGATTGATACTGATATAATATATGTATTTTCTATATTTAATTGATTTTACTGTAATATATTAGAGACAAGGTAGAAACTCTTTGATTCTGTTTGGATTGATACTGATATAATATATGTTATTTTCTATATTTAATTGAATTTTTACTGTAATATATATATATATATATATATTATATATATATATATATATATATATATATATATATATATATATATTATCATATATATATTATATATATATATATAATATAATCTCGTATTTATTTGGTTTACAGTATATATATATACACCGTAATTTACTAAAATAGTATATATATACACACTGTTTTTAACTTGATTTGAATCTAATGTGTTAATTGGTGTGGTGTATATATATATATAATATATATATATAATAAATATATATAATATATATATATATATATATATATATAGCGTTTTACCGGTCGTTGTGGTAGTCGTCAATCTCTCAATCTATTGAATCAGTATATATATAGCGTATTTACCGTCGTTGTGGTAGTCGTCATCCTCATTATTGAATCAGATAAATTATATGGGGTTTTACTATTACAGATTTCATGTTTCTTTGTGTTCCTTTTTTTTAAGGTTTTCTTTTTTTTCAGCGTTTCCTTTTTTACCAAATCTATTAGTTTCATGTTGTTTGAGGTTACTTTGGGTATTTTCGTTTTATTTTTGACCAAATGTGTTAGCTTCTTAATATTTAATATTTTATGACATTTACTAAAAACTGAAACATTAAATATGACATTTCGCCTCACTTCCCCTTAAAAAAAATTGTATAACCCTAACTTAATTAAGATCCAAAATCTCTCAACAATACAACGCTAAACCCTAAACCCCAATCACAGAATCTTAGTAGTTGTTGCAAGTTATGAATTATAAACCAAACTAACAAAAGCTGCCTGTAAAAGTAAAAAGTCTTTTTTTATTAATGTAAATGGTTCCAAATTATAATCTTATAATTTTTGAGACAACTTCAATAACAAAAATAAAAAAAAATTTATACTCGCAACAATTTATGTTAGCTTTAATTTTAATACATGGATAATTCGTATATTTTATGAGCAATGATTAGCGACTAATTTTAATTTTAGTAGCTAATGTTTACACCAAAAATTCATTTAATTACATTATGTTACATTCTGTTATAACTCCAACATAATATAAATGTACAAGACAACAGTTTTAAATTTCTGATTTGAATTTTCCAATATATATGGAAACATAAATAACACACCTCCCCAATAAAAGAATAAAAGGAAAAAGTAAAAAAAGAAAAAAAAGATAATTAGATAAAGAAAGTAAAGTGAAGTACATGACCGTGAAAACGTGATAACTGGCTTTAGTTAAGACCCGATTCAAAGTAAACCAACCATTTTATGTGCTCGTGCGACATTGACCATTAGGTTCACCTTCCCTTCTCTAAGGTCCCAACCATTTATTTCGCCTTCAATCTTTCCTCTGTTTTATATCTTCCCATATGCAAGGAAGTCTGCCCGTCCCCCCCTGTCTTTGCCCCTCCTCTCTGTTTCTCTGAGCCATGCCTGTCCTTTAGCCATATGTGAGCATCTCTCTGCGGTCCTCTCCTCTCTCCTTAAAACCCAATTACAAGAAATTTTAGTTGACATATCTCCATGCTTTGCATTTCTTTATATTATAGTCATTAGTTCTTGAAAAATCTTGACTCAATATATTCTTTCATTATCATTTTCTTGGTATTAATTAGTTTTCTTGATTTTCTGTGCAGAATATTGCAGAGATTCAATTCATATAATACAGGCTTTCTTGCGGTTTTCATCCACTCTTCTTTTCATACCATGCAAAGCCCTTCAGATAGTAAAAGAGTAGGCGTTTATACCCACATGGGTAAATGGCCTATATATACACTGGCATGGTCTGTTCGCCATGACAAACGACACCGTCTTGCCATTGGAAGCTTTCTTGAAGACTACAGTAACAAAGTAGAACTCGTACAATTCAATCTTGACAGTTGTGATTTCTCTACCGATAACCGGTTAATCTTCGACCACCCATATGCACCTACAAAACTAATGTTCTTCCCCTCGGAAGACAGTGCAAATCCCGACATAGTCGCCACCTCTGGCGATTACTTACGGTTATGGCAAATTTTCGATGACCGGATTGAGCTAAAGTGTTTGTTTAATGGGAATAAGAGTAGCGAGTTTAATTCAGCAATAACTTCTTTCGATTGGTCAGATTTTGACGTACGGCGTGTCGCAACAGCTAGCGTAGATACTACCTGTACTATTTGGGATATAGAAAAAGAGAATGTGGATTCTCAACTAGTTGCACATGATAAAGAAGTGTATGATATTTCTTGGGGAGGCTACAATGTTTTCGCTTCCGCCTCTGGCGACGGATCGGTAAGAGTTTTCGATTTACGGGATAAAGAAAGATCAACAATAATTTACGAAAACCCTATTCAAGAATGTCCATTGTTAAGGCTAGAGTGGAACAAGAGTGATCCAAGATTTGTAGCAACTGTTGGTATGGATAGTAACAAAGTAGTGATTTTAGATATTCGCTTTCCAACTACTCCTTTAATGGAACTATCTAAGCATAAAGCAAGCGTAAATGCTATATCATGGGCTCCTGTCACCGGACGGCAAATATGCTCAGTTGGGGATGATTCTAGGGCTTTAATATGGGAAGTGTCCGAAAGTGGTGTCTTCGGCGGTGGCAGCGGCGGTGACATGGAACCTGACATGTGGTACGGATCAATGGCTGAAATTAATAATACATGTTGGTCACCTGTTGAGTTGGATTGGATTGCTGTAGCCACTTTGAATAAAGTACAACTCTTAAAGGTTTAATTGGAAGGAACACATTAGTTTTTCATGGCATTTTCCTTGTATGATTATTCAACTAGTACAAATTAGTTATTAAATGCATGCTTGACTACCTACTGTCTGGTTGTTTGGTTTCATGAATTCAACTTTAATTTAATTATTCAATCAACTAATCTCAAAATAATAATAATAATAATAATAATAATAATAATAACCTGATTCTTTTTTCACACTGATTAATAATGAATAGTTAAATTAGTTCAACCATAACGTTTAGCCTTCTTTTTTCATATATACCCCTATATTAATAATTTTTTGATTAATGTTTATAGAGTTTTTCAATAAAAAAAATCAATATCTCAACACATGTTTCAATTAGTTTTTATTACACTTCATAGTTATATTTGACTAAATATTTAGTAATTCTATACATATTAATTATTGGCACAAATTATATTATAAAGATGTTATAGGAAAGTTAATAAAAAAACAAGGCACAATAATTCCCCGTACAAGTAATCAAGCAATTCACTTTACATAATATACAAATTCATCTCAATGCACAACCTTAAAATATATAGTAACATATTATATTTATAAAATATGCATAAAATATACTGATGTTATTAAAATAATTATATATATATAAATATTAAAAGTACATATATATATAGAATAACACAGAAAAATGACTACATCAAACAAATAGGAAATACATGAATCGCTCTAATAAATTATCTACATATTTGCTTTCTATAAATAATATAATTTCTATCGAAATTTAGGCAACATCTCCCCTAAAAATTAGATTATCCACGTGCTAAAATATCAACAATTCATTATATATTTATTCAATCCACACCGTCCATCCGCCAGGCAATCAATCAAGTCAACTTTTCCCATCCTCTTTCAATCTCAACATCACCACACAACCAAAATTATAATTTACAATAACATTACATCTAAACTACCTTAATCCACACTTTAATTCTATTAATATATCATTATGTCAACTTTTATCCCATCTTCCTTTCAAATCTCAACATCACCACAACAACAAAATTATAATTTACAATAACATTTACATCTAAACTACCTTAAATCCACACTTTAAATTCTATGAATATATCATTATCAAGGTCCTCAATTAAATCAACACTAATGAAAATATAATGGTAAATATAATCAATGCAAAAATTAATTTAGAGGCTAACCACAAACTACTAAAAAAAAAAACATTCTAAAATAGTCCCAAAATTAAATTTATATACCAATATATTCCTGCGGATTCGTTTGAACACAGTGGACAGAGTCCTACGCGCGGCGAGAGACCCAACCGGAGTGAGCCTGGCCCACTGAACTGTGGCAGATCGCGGCACCAGGTCTACTGGCCCTAGCCATGAATCCACCGAACAGACGGAGAGCAAGCGAAAATACTAAAATATAATCAATGCAAAAATTAAATGTTAGCTAACCACAAATACTATTAGCTAACCACAAATACTAAAAAAAAAAACATTCTAAAAATAGTCCAAAATTAAATTTATATACCCAATATATTCCTGCCGGAACTTGTTTGACCAGTGACAGAGTCTACGCGCGCCGGAGAGACAACCGGAGTGAGCTGGCCCACTGACTGTGGCAGGGATGGGACCAGGTCTACTGGCCTTAGCCAGAACTCACCGAAGACGGAGAGCAGCGAAGGATCAGTTGCTGAATCAACCAAAACGGGCAGCTGTGCTCACCAGAGCTGCGATCGAACGGCGCGACGTCAAGCGACGACTGTGGCTGAGGTCACGAGGAGCAGTGATCGAGGCTGGGATCGCCGGTGGTGCTGCCGCTCTCCCAAACGGTGACAGAGGAGTCTGGACTGAAGAGTAGCGACGCGATCGAGCGGAGGAGAACGACTGCGGCGCGACTGCAGAGCGATGGTGGCGGCGCGACGACGTGGGTGGTGCGACGAGCTCGTTCTTGATGGCCGGAGTCGCGCTGGAGCAGCAATGGAGCTGAGGCGCGACAGATCCGCGGAGGGCGGAGTCTGTCCCTATCGACCTCTGCGATTTGCGTTCGCCGGAACAAGAACAAAGAGGAAGAGAAGGAGAGACGGAGACGGCGGCAACGTGCTGGTGGCGCGGGAGGATCGCCGGCGACTGGGAATGCGCAAAAGGGGGAAGAGGGGTGAGGTGAGAGCTGGAAATAGGAAGAAAGAGGGAAAATTCTGGAAGGGTTTGGGTGGTTTGGGCTGGTTTGGTTTGATTCAGGTTTGGTTCGATTCAAATTATGGTTTTCAATTGATTTTTTTGATTTTTCAATCAGTTTTGTTCGGGTTATCAACTATACAAATCATATATTTACATTTAACTGGTTAGATAAATTTTCTAGGGTGTCAGTTTATTAAAATTTAAATGAAAAGTTTTGAAAATAAAAATTCAGGTTGTTTCATAAAAGTAGTATAACAATGTAATGAACTTGTTAGCTACTACTTCTTGTACTCTTTTAATTTTTTTTTATCCATATAATATTAAAGTATAAATTTTTATTTAGATTAAAATATAATTAATTAATTAATTTGTATTACACTTTTCTATACAAGTTATTTGTAATGTTACTTCTTATATACTTAATTTTATTTTTATATAATAAAGTGAACTCAAAATAAAGCTCAACACATTCTCTAGACTTAATCATTCAGTTTCTAATTTATAAATACAGATTCTTAAAATCCTAATAGATGCCAAAAAGAAAAAATAAAAATCAAGCATCACTCAATCTTCAACTCTTGCCCTTAACTCCAAAATTAATATTTATATACAACTATATCGAAAAATAATAAAAAATTATTTTTTACTTACATAGTGCATTAGAGAAAACAATATATTCACATGCACATTCTTGAAATCCAATAAGTAACTCAAAACATAGATATATAGTTCTAGATTTTTTCCAGTTTCTTGAATACTATTTTCTCTGAAGTTAAACAGATTTCAGATATAAGAATAAATATCAAAAAAATTAAAAATATTTAATCATTAAGAGGCGATCTATTTATTGCAGTGGAGATATATTATTAAGTTAAAGTGATAGTAGTTATAAATTAATTCAATAATGAAAAAAATGAAAAACAAAAAATTATTATTAAGAATAAAACTCTTTGAAGAATTCATTATATAACAAGAAACAAATTATATTAAAACAATTACCGATTTGAATATCAAAAACCAACCCCTTCTTTAACGGAAAAGCACGTAATTTAATGAAATTTGATGTTAATAGACAAAAAAAAAAAAAAAAAAAAAATTTGGAATGTTAATAGACAAAAAAAAAAAAAAAAAAGACAAAGAAGTCAATAACAGCGAAATTATAAAGCAATCATGTCTAGAATCTAATATTGGTCAGTTAATGAACAATCGTCAATTTTCCATTTCTTCGAAAACGTATGAATTTTTGTTAAATCAAAATCAAGATTTTGACTGTGTGGGCTGTACGTACAGTATACTTAAAGTGTCCAATTCGCGAGTTGGACCAAGCAGCCCAAAGTAAAATCAGTATCGCCAAATTCGCGAGTTGGACCCAAGCCCAAAGTATAGTATCGCAGCTTCTAACCGAGAATTTTCTAAATTTCTTAAGAATTATATTGGACGTTAAATATTAAATCAATTAAAAATAAATCAACCGGACCCATAAATCAGTTTGAATTTTTCGAAAACCAAGTGAAAAACCTGTAAACCAAGTAAAAATCAAGCCAAAACCATGAATCAAATCGAACCGAATGGCTTAGAAAGCTCTAAAACCCGCTTCCCTTTTATTTTTCTTCTTCTCCTTCCTTGGGCCAGCGTGTTTTTTCCTCCCTCCCTCCCCGTTTTCCAACCACCGCACGACGAGAGTGAGTGGCGACTGGTTCCCGAAGCCTCGCCGGTCATTTTCCCGGCCTCCTTTCATGCGGAAAGAGTCCCCAACGGCGCAAAATGGGATTGTCACCGCCGACAGTTTCCAACCTTTGATTTTCGACAATTTAGCTCGATTCAAGCGGTTGATGGCCTCAAGGTGAGCTCCGATTAGTTCCTCCCTCTTGTGCGAACATTTTCCATCCAAGAATCGACGGATTTGGTGGAAGGAATTGAAACCACCATGGATGGTGGCGTGAAGATGGCTGTGGCGGTCGATCAGGCCAAAGGAGCCACTATCTCCTCAAAACGACACCAAATTCAGCTTCTACGAGTGATTTCGAGCATTTTGGTGTAAGTATTGCAAAATTCTAGGTTGTTTGGGATTTACCGGCCACCGTGCATTGCGGGTCGGCGGCGGCGTTCCGAGGACCTCGAGCAAGGCACCAAGAGACAGAATCTTCCTCTCTTGCGTGGATTGTGGAATCGTTGTCCAAATCTCGATTGGCACGCTCTAAGACCCAATTCCAAATTTTTAGTATAAATTTCAAGTTTAAATTTACTCGGTAATTTAGTTGATTTCAAATAGATAGTTAATTTCGGGACTTTGAAATATTAGGCTTTGAAGATGTGAATTAGTTGGAGATTTTAGGAGGATTTAAATGAAGGTTTTAGTGGCTAGAATTTGGAATTTTATTAAATGCATTTAAGTGTATATTTGGACCTAACTAGCATTAAAAAAAGATAGTTAGGATTATTATCAGTATGATTTAAAATTGATAGAAGTTTTGGTTATACAAATATATAAAACCTTGAATTAGTTACTTTATAGCATGAAATATGAACCTAGTTGTTATTTGGCTATCTATTAACTAAATTGCAAATTAGTTGTTATTTGGAAAATATATGGATACTTTAAACTAGTAGGATGTAGAGATTAGGTAAATGTTTATATTCATTCATTAGTTACCTTATGAATCAGCTTAACCTTAGATAGTAGGGTAAGGCAACATTTTTGTGTAAGTAGTAAATGGCCAATAATGATGCTTAATCTTGGATTATTAATAGCTAAAGTTTTGTATTGTGATTAGATATTTATACTATTACTTGATATGGAGGAAGGGAAATTAGTTTGGTTGATTGCCCGTCGGATGGGCTGTATGAATGGAGTAAGTGTTTAGACGAATGAATAATGGTGTTATGGCGGACACGATTAGTTGTTGTAAATTGCCCGATGGATGGGCTTTGAGAATTTTTGGTTAAATTGTGGTATAATCAAATTTTATGGGAGGTTCTGCTGAAATCTCGATAGAATCTAGGCTAATCACATATAATAAATAAGTTAATGGGTTTATTTAGATTAATTCTATACTTTGAAATATTTAAAAAAAGTTCTTTATTTACTTATATTATTTATTTATTTATGTATCTATGTTTCAAGAACCAATTATTATGTTATTATCTAATGCTCTCATGTCTATTTGAATTGACATATGAATGTTTATTTGAACCCTTGCATGCTAGTGTTTAATTACTTGATATACTTGCATTTAATTGCAAAGCTTAATTATTTGTATTGTGATAATGTTATGCCTTGTTTGTGTGGAGTTGGGATGAAGTGGGTCACCATAGGTCTATAAGGACGGTCCTGTAAATGATGAAAATATGGAATTTGACTGTTGGCCAGCTATGAGGAGATCGGCGGCCCCGTGTGCACCTGATGATATGATATAGATAATATGAAAAACCACAGAGTAGCCTCCTGTTGGTATGGAAAAGAAAAGAGGGAATGGAAAAACAATGAGAGGGTTTTCAAGTGAGGAATAGACTGGTCGGCCATGTATAGGGGATTGACTCCCTGATGCACACATCATGAGAGGATAGGCCATGTAGGAGGATGGCTCATCGAGGGTTTCAGTGACGCCGCAGACCAATTTCCACGTGATGTGATCATGTGAAGGTATTAATAATTGTGATTGTTGTTGTTGTTGTGTCATTTGTGTGATCGCCTGCATGATCATATATCTAATTGGATGACTAGATTGATATATTTATACATTCGTGTGAATATATGTGTTGTGCAATAATTAATATTCATTAACAAACTCACATCTCTCTTGTTTAAACTTTTAGGAAGTAGATTTTTCTATGTCCCGGTTAAAGCTCTATTTCTTTCACCAAGAGCTAGAAAAGAATTTGCTATTTTTAGATATTAATTTATTAAATAGTTATATGTACGAGGACTTATTTGTATTTATCTGTTAGTGAACTCTACAGTTGTATGAATTATGTACCTTTAGTCGTGTATTAAAATAGGTACGTTAATTTATGAGTCCATAGATGATTTTATTATTTTCTCCAAGCGTATGTATTACCAGTAGCTCATAGTATGAACGAGATGTATTATCATTAGCCCCGAAGTATGTTTTATTCGAGACATCTGAGATTGAGCCAGTAATGTGTGCTTATTAGATATATTGTGCTTATTAGATATATACATATATATCTAATTTATATGGGTTTACTGTTCCTAAAATTTTATGTGTAGAGTATATGAGTTTTGTAGTTTAGGCTTACTATGGGTCTCGAGGGCCTTAAGTTTACCTAGGCCCCAGTGCCGATCCGGTCCATGGAAATGACTCGTGACGGTTAATGAGTTTATTCAAGTATTGCGTTTCTCTATTGTACTAAGTTGCACATTTAAAATAAATAAATAAATTAATTAATTAATAAAAAAAGATTACATAAAGAAACATTTTATCATCTTCGAAGGCACCCTTAATTTTCTCTACAACCATGAAAAAAATTTAAATGATTATTCCTCAGTTTTTTACTTGTTATTTATACTCATTTTTATTTTTTTTATATTAACTATTGATTATAATTTTTGTCTATATTATTTAGATTTTTATAATGTTAAAAAAAATATTTCATATGAGATTAATGTAAATATAATGATTAGTGTATACAAATAAATACACTTCAGTTCAATTTATATCGTCTAACAAAATTCATTATTGTTATATATGTATAATTCTATCATATCACCTAACAAAAAAGTTTCAATGTAAATAGATATACAGATATAATAATAAAATATTATATATAATCTTAAAATTTAATTTTTAATTTATTTTTATTTAAAAATAAATTTTAAAAGGCTTAATCATATATATTATGTTTGAAAATTTATTTATAAAAAAATATCAAATCAAATCATACAAATATAAAGAAAAAAATATTAATAAAAATATAATTTTTTTCCTTTTTATATCTTTCTCCCGAATAAAATATTATGTATATTCTATTTAAAATCCTATTTAAAATTTATTTTTAAAAAAATATATATCCAATCAAATCATACAAATAATAAGAAATAAAGAATATATTAATATAAAAATATACTTTTCTTTTTTTAATCTCTCCTAAATAAAATATTTTATTTATAATCAAAATTAATCAAATATTTAAAAATAAAATATAAAATCATTATTATATATATTGATTAAAAATTAAATTTAAAAAATATAAAACTTAAAATTTTGAAATGCTTAATTATCTATGTATATTTATTTGAAAAATAATTTTTATAAATTATATTCAATCAAGTAATAAAATGAATTCTCTAATTGGCTATGACTAAGATAATTTTAGGATATTTGAAACTTCAATAAGGGTGATATAAGAAATTTTATTATTCGTCTCTATTGCCACATTTATATATAGTATAGATAGATATATTATACATGTAAAAGAAATAAACATGCACCCATACATGAAAATAAAAGCGGATGGATTAAATACCTATCTCTTGTAACGCAACGGAAGATAAAGCCCTAGCTTTTGTGGTTTCTTCTACGATTGGTAAACCGGTGATACAAGGCTAGAGGTTTATTGTAGCGCCCTTAATTCTATTTTCAAAACTTTTTGAATTAATTCAATCAAAAATCCTAAATTTCCTATATGAGTACTAAGCAGGTTGGATGGTATTTAGCCCAGGTAAAAATCATGTTGGGCTTGAGCCCATATTGAGATATCGAAAATCCAATTTTCATTAAACCCCGAGAATTTCATTGATAAATTATTAAGTGATAGTTTGTGGCAATTAATTAAAAAAATAAAAAAAATAATAAGAAGTCTAGAAAATCATTGTAGAACAAACTCAAATTAAAGAGAATTCTAGAGAGATCAAGAAAACCCATTAAGAATCATTGAAAAAAAAAAAAAAAAAAAAAAAAAAAAAAAAAAAAAAAAAAAAAAAAAAAGAATAGTCTAAAACCAACTTGAACCAATCCAAACCAAATAAAAATAGAGCAAACCAATTCAAATCTAAAAGTTTTGTTGAAATCGAACCGGAATTACTTAAGACCTGAGGAAGAACCGAATCGGACCAAAAACCCCTCTCCCCCTTCTCCTTTTTTGCGAAGCTCCGATCGCAGCACCCTACGCCCCTCCCCCATTTCCAGACTGATCAATGGCCAAAGAATGCCGTTTGCGCCACCTGAGCCTCACCCTCGGTCCTCCTTGATACAATAGCTAGGCCACCCTTTGGCCTGTTTCCCTCACAACAGAAAGAGAGAAAGAGAGAGGGAGTGTGTGACAATCCTTCTCCGGCTACTCCAAGCCGCTCCAACGACTTCCCTTAATCAGGTAGGTCGATTACTACCTCTTAATACTTTTATTTGGATATCTCTTATGTAATTTATGGATAGATTGAAGATTTAGAAAGATTTTGGTATTTAGGTTTTATATTGAAATAAATTGGAATTTTATTAAATAATGGCATGATTTGTGAAAATTGATAAGAGATTTATAAGTTTCATGGAATTTAGAACGATTCAGTATGAAAAACGTTGAAATTTGGCCGTCATGGACGGCAGTGACTGCGGCGGCCCGCGAGCATCCAAAAACTCAGAATGTAGAATTTGACTCCTAGATCTTGTATATGCAATTGAAATCGCAGTTCGACTTCATTTAGTAATAGAATCATTGATAATGAAATTTAATATATATGCTTCTAAGCCGAAATCCACAGGAATCAACTAAACAAGAGACCTTCTGACCTTAGAAAGACTTAGTCAATTAGATAATTTTTAATTGAGATTATCTAGAATCGATTATTGTTGTGAATCAAAGTTAAGGAAGTTTTAGTTCTATATGATTATAATATTGAATCTTATTATCTTTAAGTGTAAATCACGAATCAATAACAGACAATTGGGCTATCTTTTAGTAATTTGCAATTTAGTTGTTAGTTAAAGAATGCATTAACCCTATGGTACAATTATGGATGAGTTGAGCTTGGATGCGTTTGGTGCAAATGATGGGATATAGTTAGTAAACTATTCATAATAAAAGGGAAAGGACTATTTGTCATTTTTTTATTTTGTTATTGTAATTATATAGCGTTTTTTATAAACTAAGAATGTGATGATTAGTTGGTATCGACATGAATTTAGTAAATAATTAGACAAATGATTAAGAAGAATAAATAATGATTACGGCGGATGGAAATATATTGATGAGTATTGCTCGATGGATGAGCATTAAGAAATTTTTATTGAATTGGTGTTTCTAAACAGGTGGAGTAGTCCAGTTTGAGGGGAGACTCTGCCAGATTTCCAACAGAATCTCCATAACTCTAGACTAAGTTATGATGATAATTAAGTAGTTTAGTTTGGGTTCTGGTGGCAGCTTCTCATTTACTTTTGTTATGATCTTCGGTTGTCTTGGTCCCTATTTAGCCCCTCCGGATCAGAGTCAAGGATACATTGCTTTCTTTTAATATCATAGTGAGTAATAATAAATAGTGCATATCATCATTTGCATACATATATTATTTACTTTATAAAGAAATATTTATATAAAAGATAACTTAGCATTTATATTTGTATTTATATTATTATGTTATTATTAATATATAATTATATTTTAATGTTTGCATATTAATGATTCATTTGGGGCATTATGCTGAATGAATTGTTTGATTATTGATACTGTGAAATTGCTGTGCCTTGTTTGTGTGTTATTGATACTTGTGAAATTTGCTGTGCCTTGTTTGTGTGAAATTGGAATGAAAGTGGGTGGCACCACGGATTTGTGAGGGCGATTTGGCCCGATACCGTCGACCATGTAATGGGGAGATCGGCGTCCCCATTGTGCATATATATATATGATTGATATGGAAAAACCACATGTGGCCTCCTGTTGCTAATAAAAAAAAAAAAAAAAAAAAAAGAGAGAATGGAAAAAAAAAAAAAAAAAAAAAAAAAAAGAGAGAATGGAAAAACAATGCGAAGGCTGTTCAAGTGAAGATTTGACCGGTCGACTATGTATGGAGATCCGCTCCCTGGTGCACACGTTTGAGAGAGTGGGCCATGTGTGAGAACGGCTCGTCGGTAGTTTCGGTGATGCCACTGACCAATCTCCACTTGTTTGATTATGTGAAGGTGTATTTATATGTGAGTGCTGGCGTTGTGCCATGTTCTGGACTGATTGTATGTTCATTTAAGTATTTTAGGAAACATTTCGTGTGATCGCCTGTGTTATGCATTATTTATTATTATTCACTGAGTTGCAAAACTCGTTTCCTTTTTTGTTTAACTTTTTCAAGGAGTAGACTCTCCATTGTTCCTACTGAAGCTCTGCATCCTTCCCTGCACAGCTAGAAAAGTAATTTCTAATTTCTGTAGTTATTTAAATTATTTGGCTTTTTATTTCAGGACTCTATTATATGTATATGATGTTGAACTCCGTTTTGCATCTATCTGAAACTTTATTCTTCCTTCCCTCATAAAGTTTGTTAAAGTAATAATTAGATTTTGTACAATAGTTTCTATTTAGCTAGGTTCCTCTAATTTTTGGAACAGTTGCAGTATCCGCAATTACTATAAGAGTGTTATGTATGTAACAATAATAATTAAATATGAACTTTATTTTGAGAAAATTTGAATCTATGGTTTAAAATTTGACTGGAGTCCAATGAATGAGGTTTCGATTATATTTTGTGAATGCATATGCTATAGGCTCGAGAAAAATTGAATAAATAATAAGTGATGAATATGTATATTTGTATTTGAATTAGGGTCTTGAAATGATTTTGGACTGTTATCAATATATTGAGTCATCCAATTGAATATTTTTATTGGGATTGTCTTCTTGGGATATCTTTATGGATTCATTGATTGAAAAATAGTGTTCCAGACTTACTACGGGTCTCAGTGGCCTTAAGTCCACGTGGACCCTAGTGCTGGTTTCTATGAAAATGAGTCGTGACATTTATCTTCTGCTGTGCTACAAAGGTAAGGTTTATCTTCTATTGTGCTATTGAGGCAGGTATTTAACCCACCCGCTTTTATTTTCATGCATGGGTACATATATATTTTTTTAGTATTGGTATCAAAGCTTGAATGCCTTGTGTTCTAGTTTGTATATCAATTGAATGTGTCGATATATTTAGGTGTAAATATGTTTATATTAATTGTACAGTTTACAAATTTTAGGTACCTCTATTGTATATGTTGAGAGTATTATATATCGTGAAATCAATAATTATGTATATATGTATAATATATATTTGATTTATTTTATAATTTTCTGCAATGTGTTATAGAAAATTATGGTGTGTATCTATAAGACTCCAATGATGGCGAGGAATGATGAACAGAAAGAACAATTATACAAAACGGTAAGGAAAGCGTGTAAGATAAAATTAAACCTATAAATTAATCCACATGACTGAGAGATTCTAATATCACAAATGAAATGAGTTCACGAAGCCTATCAATAGATAATATAGAAATGTGGTATCATACATGAAACGAGTTCATAAAGCCTATTAATAAATAATATGGAAATGTTGTTTAAAGGAAGAGAGGAGTCTCTATTTAATTATGCTTGGCTCGGTATATGATCATCCCTTCTATATGTATAGAGTTGTCGAGGATAGATATAGGGGAAGTGGAAAATGCTCCTATCATGGATTAATCTAGTATTTCATGAATAGTTTCTACAAGAAGGGAGCAATTAGAATGATCACTTGTCCTAGTGCAGAGTTTCGTAGTAAGGCTATTACTAAATCGGGATCTGTTATGGGTAATGGGATTATTTACTTGACATCATCTTCTCCTACCTTTTTATTTTAGTTGGACTGTCGTGAGTAACAGTAATTCCACTAAAACTCTAAATTTTATTCCTTAACCAACTAAAATAATATTTAATTTAAACTTATCTAAATATCACAATTGATTAAATTAATTAAACAAATTAATTATATAATGGACATGGGTTAATATACTAGTTATGAGTGTACTTATACTCGTCGATGGATTCTAACATTGTAAATATACATATAAATTATAGATCGATAATCATTTATAATTAAAAAATTAATTTGATAATAGATTAATTAATTAAACAAATTAATTATATAATGGACATGGGTTAATATACGAGTTATGAATGTGCTTATACTCGTCTATGGATTCTAACATTGTAAATATAAATATAAATTATAGATTGATAATCATTTATAATTAAAAAATTAATTTTATAATAGATTAATCAATGTAATCAAAAATAGTTTGATGCAATGTGCATTATAGATATAAATATAGATTATAGATTGATAATTATTCATGATTAAAAAATTAATTTGATAATAGATTAATCAATATAATCAAAAACAATTTGATGCCCCCATCGAGCACAAATAAAATTACGAGGGTTGAATTTCAATAGGGAAAAGGAATAAATTTCAAGAGCCGAAAAATTTGTGCTCTTTTTTAAAAGACCCAAGCCTGACTGCGCGTCCATCTCCGGCGTGCTCAATAAGATATATAGCCTGACTGCGCGTCCAATCTCCGGCGTGCTCAAAATAAGATATATATATAGTATATATATATATTTTTATATATTATATATACTATTTTTTTTTTAAGTAAACAGGAAAAAGGAACCTTCGCTTCGCCACTTGAAAACGCATTTGATGCGCAGTGATCAAACAGGAAAATGGGCCCATGACATTTTTTTTTAAAGTAAAAGGAAAAGGAACCTTCGCTTCGCCACTTGAAACGCATTTGATGCGCAGTGATCAAACAGGAAAATGGCCATGACTATTGAAGGTACGCTTCTTAATCTCTGCTTTCGTAAGTAAGTACTGGTTTCTTCTATCATTTAAGCCGAGATTAGCTTCTTGCTTCCTTGTTTTGCTGTGCTTTTTTCCTGTGTTTCGTTTAATTTGGGGGTTTCGTTTACTTTTCGAGGGTTTGCTCTTGGAAATTATGGAATTTCGAGTTTAATTCACCGAAATTTGTGTTATTTCTATTTAGAAGCTAACCGTTTGTTTGATTCTTGGCAAAAAGTGCAAGGGAAAGATTAACAGGACAGAAACTTAATGCTTGAAAATTGGATCTTCTACTATCGTTTAGTTAATTTTATATATTTGATTTAAATTAGTCAGTCTGCTAATGGAACTCGCTTAGTATTGAGGTCTAGAATTTTATGTGTTCTAAGGATTCCTGTAGCTAATTGCTACTGATTACTTTTAAGATAGATAGAAACGATGGACTGTGTTTATTCATACTTGTTTATGTGTTTTGATGTTAACTACTGCAATTTTGTGTTTATTTTTAGTTCTTATTAATCTTGAAGGCTTGCGGTAGTATTACAATGTAATCTTTTATTATATTAGATGGTGTCTATTGCTAACTATTTTTGCTTTGGTGCATTGCTGTTTTTGGTTGCTGAATGGACATGGACTTCTATCTGCAGTGTAAGTTGGATGCTTTAATCTTTAATTTCAGCTTGTTCTGTACTTGAGTAAGATGATATATAACATGTCTTAATTGAAATGCAGGCTTGCTGGGCTTGCTTTTATGTTTTCAGCTAGTATTCTATTGCAGATATTGGTATGTATTCAATCAGATTGGTTGCATCATGATGTCTCTGCTTTATCACTATCAATTAAAAGGTTTTCAATATATTTCATGCATTTAATATCATGTTACTTACTTTCTGGTGGGATTTTCATCTTTCGGTATCAGCTAATTTTTATATGTATTTTTATTTTTATGCCTCATTTTGGCTGGTTGTCTCTCTTTACCTGGCTTTTACTTTTACAAGATGAATATGGAAGAGATTGGATCCTCCTATATTCTGACAGCGCCTTCTTCTGATCAAATTACTTTGTTTCACTTTTCTTGACGAGTCAAATTATCTTTGATTGTGACACTATTTTCTTTGCAAAGAATGGTATAAGAAAAGTAAATTCACTCTAGATAATCTGATTCCGTTTTCAATTAATATGATGTATTGATCACATTACTCTAATAGCCATGGGGGCGCTTGAGATTTTATCATTGACAAAGCTTGTCAACACATTAAATCCCTGGAAAAATTGAGAGAGAAGCATTTCAGAAAGTGTGATTTTGTCACGTGAGTGTTGTTTTAGATTCCATAAGGAATATGATACGAATAAAAGCAATGGCAAATGGCTATTGCATTCTGTTAGTTTTTCCATTGAGTTCTAACTTTCTTCAGTTTATTCTTTGTGCCAAATGCAATATTGGAGTGGAATTTCATTTCATTTTCACTTGCAAGGTTAACCAGAAGGGGACTGAATCTTTAGTTTAGTGTGGTACTTTTAGTTCTTTTTTTCATTTTGGAGCAGGAATTCTTGAACTAAGATACAATTGGACAAGATACGAAAGAATGTGGGATAAATTTGAAAAATCCTGTAAAAATTATTAGAAGCAAGCAATTAGTAGATAGAAAAAGGTCTATACTTTTGATTATCTAGTTTGTGTTGCTGAAATATGGGGAAAAAAAAAGGTGGGTGTAAGCTTTTGCAGATTTTTTATATAAATTGCCATGCTTCTATTAATTCTACTCTTATATTCCCTGTCAAGTAAATGAAAGGCAAGTCACGGGATCGGGGGATTAGACTGAAGGAAGAGAAGGCTTAAACAAGCAGTCCTAGTCCTATATTGCATGTAGGAAGGGAAGCTTGAATTTATGCTGGGATATATTCTAGTTAATCGGCCTTCTTTATGGATCTCGGGGTCCTATCTACATTCATTTTGAGCAGCCGTCCCAAGCCATTAATTTAAATCCCTCAAGGAGTTTAGACCAAAACATTTTGAGGTTCATGTTTTAAAGGTTGATTTCTGAATGAGTTAGTATGTGACATATTATTGGACTGCAATATGCCTAACTTTCATTGAGAAATAACTTGTCAAGAATAGCGTTACACATAAAATATGAAAAATAAGATGGTGCCATGAAGCTTGCAAAGAACAATCAAGAAGTACGCAAGCTTTTATTATCTGCTGAGATTGCTAATTTAATGATTAAAGACGTGGTGTTTGGCTAGACTGTAATTGAATTTGTCTGCATGAATAAGCTAGTTACTGTTTTATGTTCTTGGAGCACATATCATGCTCATGATTGCTTTAGCTCAATTCAAGTATGAAAAAAAAGAAGTGAATTTTAATTGTTTAGTGCTGCCCTTGGTTGGCTCACTTTCTTAAGATCATTTGTGTAGTATAGAGAAATAACTCCTCAGTTATCATCTTATTAAGCCTCATTGTTACATTATGGATTTCTGAAACTATGGCATAGTCGAAACTAATAATATGTGTTGCTATGCTCTTTAATTTTATTTACTGTTGAAATAAATTCAAGATTATACTCTTGTTGATCCAAGTCTGGTTGGATTAGGACATTCAACATTGCCCCCCTTCTCTTTAACAAGTCACATATTCCATTCCCAGAGGCTTTTTAAGCAGGGCTTTGCAACCATGAATACATGATATGATCTAGCAATGGAAAAAAGAGGTTTATACAACTCCTAAGTTTTGGAAACTTAGCTTTTCTTACCTTGTTTAATTCTCTTTTTTTGAGGTTCAGTGAGCATATTGTTGCCACCAACATCGGTAGGCTTCTGTTTATTAATGACTGATGTTTTTTCTGATATTTTTTAGGAGGTCCTTTTAGGCTTCCTAATCTCTTATCCTATTCTAATGGAGTTGGACGAAATAGGACATTAGAATAGGACCCTACTTCATTTAAATTTGTGAATATAAGTCTTCTTTATCATTTCTTTTAGAGCCTTTGCAAGAAGTCTCGGGGGAAGTATTTGATGATAGGAGGGTTAGGTTGGAAGAAGCTGAATATATCTCAAGGATAAATTTTAAAACTGGAATGTGAAACTATTGCCTATATAAGAACTGAGATTGAAAATGCAATTAAAGTGGAAAATAGGGATTTAAATAGTTGTAGGTAAAGGGTGGTCTTCCTTGGTAGCATATCAATGGGAGAATGCAACTTAAGAATGGATTTGAGTAGGTTATTTTGAAAGAAGAACTAGTTTGGGGCAGAAAGCTAGATAGAAGTAGGTGGAGAAAGGGGATTGGGGATTCCAAAACTTGGTTTTCCCATTGATTGGCCAATGTTCGGAGGAAGGAGGGAGAGTAGTGAAAAATTTGGAAACTGGTTGGTGAGACTATTTTCAAATCCTATATTTTTACTTGTTCTTAGGTTTATTTTTATGCTGATATGAAAAAAAAATCATTTTGGATTATGTCCATTTTTTTAAAAAAGGGAATCTAGATCATTGTACTGGCATTTTGAGGATGAACAATTTAGGATGGTGTTTTCTTTTCTTTTTCCTTTTTTGCTAGACATTTGAAAAGTGCTCTTCAAGTCTTATGGAATATTATTAAGGATGACAAATTACATGCTATACTGCTATTGATGTGGTTAGAAGTTTGAATACAGGAGACTAGATTCTACTTTTTTCACCCTTGTTTCTTAGAAAGATAATTCTATTAATGTTGACGGAGTGTTGTCTTCATTTTTAGTTATATTGCTCTTCCAATCACATGGTTTTTATTGAAGACAGGCAAACTGATGATTTGGGGATTGATAACATAGTTAATGATGTTAGGAAGAAATATAAGATTACCAATGCTGTTGAATTTTAAAAAGGCTTTTGATTATGCAAATCAGAATTTTATGACAAGATTATGGATAAGAACATACACGGAGTTGGAGGGAACAGAATACTTGTCACTATATCTTCTGAAGAACACTGGGTTTTACTGATGAATTTGGAGACATTTATAAGAATCAATTTAGTATTTTGGTGAGGATAAAAAAGGCATGAACTATAAAGTTAATGTCATTGCTTTGTTAGTCCTGATTTAGAGCACCTAGCTGCAGAGAAATACTATAATTTTATGGAGCCAAGTATGATTTTGAAATTACCATGTGAAAATTTTTTCTCTCCAATGTGCTATTCTATTTCAATAATTCTGAAATTGCAATGTGTAGGATATTTGGAATGTTGCTCTACCCACACATTCCAAATTCGAATATTGAATAAAATCAATCTCCACTTGTATTTGTCCCAAAGATTGTAAACTCTGCTGGCATACAATCCAAACCTGTATAATTTATATGGATGTTTAATTGGTAAATATATTTTTAAAAATATTTTTTTATAAACCTAATCCTGTAAAATGTGCTTCCGTATAATAATTTGAGAATTAATCAGTAATCCTATATGAATAATTATTAGACATTTACATAATAATAATAATAATAATAATAATCCACCTCTGAAGTGATTATTTATTTTTAAGTCCATTAACATTTTAAACCTGTTTATAAATATCAAATGAACATATGAACATGGTGGATAGGGTCTGGTGGTGCCCTAATTGCTGAAAGAAATATAAATGTAGAACTCTTCTACAAATGGATTAGATAATATTTGTTTGTTAATTTATTTAGTAATTAGATTTATTCTTTTTTTTTTTTTTTTTTTTTTTTTTTTTTTTTTTTTTTCAAATGGATTAGATAATATTTGTTTTGTACTAATTTTATTTAGTAATTTAGATTCTTATTTCTTTTTTTTTTTTTTTTTTTTTTTTTTTTTTTTTTTTTTTTTTTTTTTTTTTTTTTTTTTTTTTCCGATGGCAGGCTTGTGCAATATATAACAACTGGTGGCCAATGTTATCAGGTTTGGACTGTTTGATATCTGATTTATATGCCTAAATTTTTCACATTTATGGTGATGATGTGAGTTTGTCGTTTAATAGCTCTCATGTACGTGCTGGTTCCTATGCCTTGTTTATTCTTTGGAGGTGGGTCTACTCAGTTTCTGATTAGCCGGGATGGTGGGGGGTGAGTACTTAACTAGGCACCTCCTTATGTAAACTACTTCCATGTGGTTCCTTTATTGATTACTCTTATATATCTGTACCATGCGAAAGCACATGGAAGTTACTATTAGGTTCATATTGATATCTTTCACAATAACTTTCAGCTTTACAGATAATTTGCATTTTTTTGCTTTTTAAGTTGAAACACTTCTCATGCAATATTTCATTTCCTGGAGAAATTATGGGTAAATAACTATTCAATCCCTTGGGTTTGGTCATAATCACAATTTTTTTCCTCTTCTTGGTGAATACGCTGATTGGTCCTTGAGGTATAGACATGTTCAACTATTTAGTCATTCCATCGAAAAAGTGTGATTTAGAAGTTAAAGTACTATGTAATATTTAACTATTTGATCTCTAATATTTTATATTAACATTAGCATTTAGTCCATTACATCTACTATTGAATTATTATTTAGTCCCTTAATGGGAAAAAATGACACTTTTAACAGAGCACTAATAGTTTAATGGAGCTAAACCTTAAAGACTAATTAATGTATTGAACAAACAAGAGAGACGAGGTTATAGTTATGACCAAATCTAAAAGACTTGATATTTATTTATCCATAAATTATGAACATATCTTATTATGCTGACTGATTTGGTTGTTTGAGACAATTATTTTGCGTTATTTGATGTATAGGCTTTTTTAACTGGTCAGATTCATGAATATGCAACATTAAGTTTTTTGAATATTTTACATTGCAGTTGGGTAGATGCTGCCAAATTCCTTACAGGGGCATCAGCTATCGGAAGCATAGCAATTCCAATTATCCTTCGGCATGCTCACATGATCGAAACAGGAGCAATGTTGATCGAGTTCACATCGTTCTTCATATTTGTATGCACGGTTTTATGTTTTCATCGTGCCAGTCTAGAGGACGATTGGTGATTGATACAGCTCTTACTAAAATCCTACC